TCAAATGTATGAGGGTGTAGTACAGATAAGATGAAATTAATTGTTAATGTTATGAACAAATAACAAAAACTAATAGACAGCAACTGAATGAACAATAATGGGTGAGTTTTCTTCTTTTAGGTATCCTGCCTTGTTGGGATATGGCCTTTGAGGCAAAATAAAAAAAAAGTACTGTATCAGCAAAAGAGGTCTTTCAGAATACTCTTGTAGTAATTTCTAGTGTTGGGAAGAGGCACAGCAGAGACTTAAAAGACAAATCCAACATGAAGTTGGAGCTGCCACTATTGCACTCTGCTGATGACAGGACTTTTAGGAATTCTGAAGTTAAGTTGCAAAGTTTGAGGAAGAGCCTGAAAGGGTGTACAGAAAAAGCAAGGTGATGAGTGTAAGAATATATAAAGAATGAAAACTTGTTTGTTAGATTAGAAGAAAGGCATATATTAGAAGTGAATGTACTGTATTTATAAATTTGGTAGATGTGTCACCAGTTGGGTTTTAAAGATGAGGGTAAGAAGACTGTCAATAAATGAAAAAAAAAAAAAAGGAAATACTGTATTTAAAGAATAATCATACTAATATTTTTTTGAAGGTCTTCAAGTGTTACAAGGAGGAGGCTGAAGCAAATAAAATTGTCACACCCGAGATCAATATGTGGTGTGAATATTGGGCAAAAAAAGCTGCTTAAAAATTATGACACTGTAGTAATATTAAAAATATAAGTCAGACTTGATAAGAGGTTGCTGAAATGGTTTGGCCATGAAGAAAGAATGGAAAAAGATTACTTTAAGTTCATCAAAAAAGGGTGTATAAACATGAGCTATTTCAAGGTTTAGAGAATGTCAAGGGAAGGGCTGGAAAAAATAAGGTTTCAAAATGTATCTAGCAGAAGTGAACATGTTAGATATGAGTGGAAGCAAGTGGTTGTTGGTTTTTGTAATGTTTTTGAAAGTAAGCAATGTAATATCTATAAAGCAATTCAGAAAAATAGGTTAGTTAGACTTTGGGTTTTAGAGGTGAGCACACTGCCTATACTTTGAAAGATGGTGAGGATGTTCAGTTCAGTGGGTCACTGGATTATGATGCCCATGCAATTGTGGAAAGAGAGCTAGGAAGCAAGTGATGGTGAAGATGTTTCTTTTGGGTCACGTGTTTTAATTGGAAATAGTTCATGCATTAAAGGGGCTTTGGATGAGGTGGATGATTTGGAGCCCAGGGATGAGGTGGATGGCTTGGGGCCCTGGGATGAGGCAGGTGGCTTGGGACCCTGGAATGAGGTGGATGGCTTGGGGCCCTGGGATGAGGTGGATAGCTGGGGCTCATGGGCTGATAGAATGAATGATAGTGAAAGTGTTTCTTCTTGTATGGGTCACCCTACCTCAGTGGGTGACAACCAGTTAAAAAAAAAAAAAAAGTGCTTTCTGTATAATTAATTATTCATGGCCACAATCCTTTTTTCTTATATATAATACCAGTTTTCTTATCACTGGACACTGAACATGGACATAGTGAAAAATGACTTAATGCCCTTCCTTTTGAAGCTCTTGTGATCTAAATGAAACTAACCATATTAATAATGTAAACTGAGAAAAACACTGACAATAATGATGAAAAATCAAAATCTGAAGCTCTGAGTTCCAGGAATATCTATGTACTATACTTAAAACTCAATATGTCACCCCTCTTCGAACAGACGAGTGTGACCATCAGTAAAATGGGTACCTGGGTGTTAGTCAATTGGTGTGGGTTGCATCCTGGGACAAAACTGACCTAATTTGCCTGAAATGCTCTGCATAACAAGTGGCTTTCTATACAGTAATGTCACTGATTTCAGCTAGGCCTGTATACCTTGTACATGTACTTGTAGAAATAAAGATAGAAATAAAAGTCTATTAAAATTACTGCGGTTGTCTTGTAAAGAAATTATATGTATTCCAAAGATAGCATTTGGATATATAATATTTACAATAGTGATTACAGACATATGATCTACACATTCTGTATTACTGTACATAAAAATGCATATAATATATTTTCTTATAAAATTTATGTATTTTCTTACAGAACCTATTAACTTCATTATAAACCAACTATCTGGCTACTCATTACATGTGTATTCATAATCTGCATGGTTCAATTCTGAAGCACTTATTTATATCCAGTAAAATAAGCATCTGGAAAGACCACATTCACTACTTTTGATTGAAAGTATTTGATATAATAAAGCTAATATTCATGTAAAAGTTATAGAAAACTGGAATACATGTATGCTTATATATGAAAATCTATAGCGAAGGCTAATATAGGCAGTGAAGTCACACCAGTCACCTGTGCACAACACAACACATTAAGAGCACATGAAGATTTACAAATAACCCGCACAGATTGTTATTCACATGGCAAACATGTCACCAGCTGTACCTGTCAACAGATGCCTGGGGTCTTCCCAGATACTAACAAGTGTCTAGCACAAACACTTAAGCAAATTTACATGGTTTATGTCATGTTTTCACATTCAATCATTACACTTCAATCAGGCTATATGTACAATGTAACACCAGTGATAAAATTCCCAGATAAACTAAAGTGCTCTTATTGTCTATCAGTGCATTGGTAATAGAGTTAAGAAAGATAATTTTAACTACCAAATGAGTGTGGCATGTTTTATCATGCTGAGATATCCTAACTGCCCATGTACACAAAATTAGCACTAATAAAGATACTGGGCATTTATGGTTACTTTCAAAATAGATATATACTGTATGTTTATATGCAATGTACATTAGTACCACTACTTAGTTCTCTCCCCCATTTTCTCTACATCCACTTTTTCTTTTTGATTCCCATAATTTTGCCTTTTTTTCTAGTTTCTGCCCTTCTACTTTTCCTTTGCTAGTTTTTGAGAGGAAATTGCTCATTGTGAGAAAGCAGGAAATACTAGAAGACTGAAGGTTTTTGTTAAAAATGCTACATGCTAAGGAAAATAACAGCAAAGCACAATGCCAAAATTTTAGTGGTAGAAATCTAAAAATATAAAAAACTCATAAAAGTAAATGAATACAGCTCACAATTTAATTATAAAGAAGTAGACTGGATAACTTATAAGTTGGAATGTTTAGCAGTGGTCAGCCAAATTCCTCAGTATAAGAATCAGACTAAAGAAGCAATGCATGTGAGAAGGCAACACACCAGTAAATACAGGTACAATATCGATTTTCAGGACACTGATGGTCTGGAACTACACAACTTTACTAGCAGGAACCTGAAATTCCAGTGGCAGTGTATTTACCATCAAACTATACAGCACTTATCCAACCCCAAGACCAAGAAATACTGTGCACTCTGAAGGTGGAAAAAATCAGTAATCCGGAAAGGTTTTGGAACCAAAGGTCCAGAAAATAAATGATGTACCTGTATTCAGCAGAAAAGTAGAAAATCTAAAATAAATTATGTAACCCCATTTGGAATGAATGGTCTTTTTCTAATGGAAAAATGTACAGTGGACCCCCGCATAACGATTACCTCTGAATGCGACCAATTATGTAAGTGTATTTATGTAAGTGCGTTTGTACGTGTATGTTTGGGGGTCTGAAATGGACTAATCTACTTCACAATATTTCTTATGGGAACAAATTCGGTCAGTACTGGCACCTGAACATACTTCTGGAGTGAAAAAATATCGTTAACCGGGGGTCCACTGTAGGCTGTTTAATATATGTTTTCAGGCAGAATCTTTTTATCTGGAACCAACTTTTTTTTTAATACTCCCTTTTAAAGATACTTTTTAAATAGGCTCACACTATTAAATAAGGCTTGCTTACATTGTAAACAAACTAAATTATTTATGATAGTATTATCAAAACATAAAATATTAAATTAAAAATGTTACAGATGTAAAAATTAAATATACAAGTATTATCACATGGGTAACACAGGAGCAGTGGGACACAGACAGCTGTGAGCAATGTTCATTTATTCCTGTACCAATATTCTGAGCAGTTAAATGTATTAATAAAATATAACGTTTATCTTTCACCTAAGTGTGTTCAACAATAATACAGGGATTAGAGCTGTAATATACAAATACCATTGAGGTTTAGCGTAGACAGCTTCATCACAAACAACCATCCTCCATCACTTCTCCCTGAATACTAAAGCCTTCTGTGACCTTAACTGATAACAAAGCTTACTGAAATACCAAAGTTCTCCCTCAAATTAATTTACATGGAAAATAGAAAATAAAAATATAAATACTGTACTTTGCAACACATATTACTGCGGTGGAATATGCCATGCCTCATTCATAACAACACTCACTCCCTATGAGCCTCGGTAGTCCATTACGTGCTTTATGCTCAGAATAGACTCCATCTGCCATCACTTGCATGTTGATGTTTGCTTATACCCAGAGACAGATGGCACTCCTATAAAGCTTTGAGACTCGATCATCATCCTTTGCTGTAATGAACAAACCTCTATCCTCTCTGGATACTTCCTTAGCTGGAAATTTGTTTTGCCAAGTCCTTATGGGCCCTACAACTATCTTCAGGATCTGCGACCATCCTTGCTTCTCTTCTGGTATCCCTGTTTAGGATGAGTATTTGCTCTATTTGGCCCACCAGCCTTGTGATAGCCATATATCTTGCCCTGACTGCTCTACACACAGATGGGTCCACCAAGTGTAGAGTGCAATGTGGCAGTGGATGAAATGTATAGTGTATAATAGCATATGCCTGCATTATTTTTTTTTTTAAATAGTGTATTATTACCACCATATTTTGTGCAACAGTGTTTCTATAACTTTTCTTGTAAATTTCTAGATTTTACAGTACATTATTTTCCTAGGATTCTATTATTTCTGAAAATTTAACTACCTAAAAATAATTGCTTTAACCTGACTCACGAAATCGTAATGACATGATCGCAAACAAATCATACCATGGGCAGGGCCTGAACTCGCGGTTAGAGTTGGAGTTAGACTCTCTACAGCTTCAAGCCCAATGGTTTGCTTTAACCTTTTCTCATAACCTGGTATGACTGACTGTGTAGTGACCTGTCTTATCAGCTGGCATCCTGGCTGCCCATGAGTGTGTGATAGAAGCACATTTGCTCATTCTTGACTGTTAAGTGCTTTCAGCTAAAATATTTCATTAGGCAGCAACTTTACCAGTACAGTATTTTATATACCAACAACCAGGGTTACAAATTCTTGTGAAGGGAAATACTGACAGTAAAGATTAAACACTTAATTCAACACGACTGAACGTGGTGGAATCTGGCAACCTGGCCAGTCCTCTTGATGGGTAGACTTCTGCAGCCACTATTTCAGCTTGTTATTTTTATTTTGTTTCCCTTAAAACCATGCTCATTAACTTGACTATCTATCCAGCCTGGCTTTAACAAATATTTTATACAAATGCAGTATAATGCAATCCTTTGTTGACAATGTTTTGCCCACACAGTGGGCTTTATCAAGTCACAAATAGTTCTACCTAGGGAGTGGAGGATGAGCATTATACTGCATGTGTTGCTTTTTCCAGTGTCAGTGTTTTATACCATTTGTCTCTAACTAATACTGTATATTATTTGGAATAGGTAGCACTGATTTCACTGTCTACCTGAAGGTCGTCCTGGGGGGTCAATGCCGCCACAGCCCAGTCCTCAACCAGGCCTCCTGATGGATCAGGGCCTGATCAACCAGGTTAGTACTGCTGGCTGCATGCAATCCAACGTACAAACCACAGCCCAACTGATCAGATACTGTATCTGTCCAGTTCCCTCTTGAAGACAGCCAGGGGTCTATTGGTAATTCCCCTTATGTATGATGGGAGGCTGCTGAACAGGCTTGGGCCTCAGACACTTAGTGTACTCTTGGTGCCCCTGCATTTTATTGGGGGTATACAGTGGACCCCCACAAATTCATGGTTCTGAATTTGCAGCTTCAGTAATTCATGGATTTTTCCTTAGAACCTAACTAATAATTGTTCACAGAAATCCCTGCAAATTCGCGGAATTTTTTTTGGCTTTTTTCGTAGCAATATATAATTTTTTATGCGTTTTAATGCTAGATATTAAGAAAAATATAATTTAACAATTTTGTAACATAAATATTAACATAAATTCAGCAAAATTCCCATATAAAATATAATACTGTATAAATTTTTACTAAATTAAATTATTACTGTATATTTACTAGTATATGTATACCAAAGAAAATAGGGCTGCATGAATTACAGTACACCAAAGAAAATGGGCTTGCATGAATTACAGTACATATGGGGATAACATCGGTATTTTACAATCTAGCACTGCTCGAGACATAGCAGTACAGTACTGTATATGGGTTTATCTTTACTTTTTTTTTTTAAGGGCTATGTATGAAGCTGAGTTTGAAATTAAATTAGTGTTTTGGGGCATATATAGGGTTTAAACTATAAAAATAGGCATTTTTTTTAACCGCGTCTAGAATTCACAGTTTTTCCAAATTTGCAGGTGGTCTTGGAACTTAACCCCCACAAATTTGGGGAGACTACTGTATTGCACTATCTGTGAATTCTTCTATTTTATTCATATTTATAACACACAAACATGACTGGTGGCAACAGATTTCAGGTGTTATAAGTAGCACTGGAGGTTTGATGTTGCCACTCCAATTTGTGCATTATCAATATTTCTATTTTTTCTTAAAGAATAATGCAATACTGATTATTTCAGTGTCAGATCATTCTTGTTTTATATTTAATGTTTACTGGTTTACTTTATGCAAGTACTTGACATATTTCTGTGATATTAAAATGCTTACAAAAAGATCATTTACAAATATTTATTTAAGTGAACCTTATTTTTTATTCTAATCAATATACAGTTCCAATATCCAAGACCTTATTTCTTGAAGCAAGGTATTCTATAAACAGGGACTGCAGAACATGGCAGTCCATAATGCCTTTTATTTAAAATGTTTAAAGATTCCTCAACTCAGTACACGCAATAATACCAGGTGCCTGTGTATAATCTTATCACCTAGATAATGCCCTGAGCTGTTCCATTTTGAGTGGCAAGAGCTGCACCATTTCCCGGCAAACGGCTAATTCTTGAGCCATTAGTGATTGACAATGAGGATTCCTATCACAGTACTCCACCAGTCTCTGAAATAAACATTAACATTATTCAATGTGAAGTTTCACTGGATATGGTTTGATCACATTATGACAGTTAAAGAAACAACTTAAGGATGTGTGGATAAATTTAAAAAGAACCGTATATATATGTACTTTGATTCACTTGTAAACACACACACTTAAAGAATTCTTTGAAGAAAGATTGTCATATTTTTCAATTATAACCCATACCTTATAATTCTGAAGAGACTGAGCTAAATTTTGTATCTTGGTTTGATGATTTGTGGCAACAAGCTTTGACCAGAGGCGCCCCAGATGGAACCAAGCAACCAATGCTGGACGCACTGAGTCTTCTGAATATACTGTAGGCTGCTCACCAGTGCTAAAAGAACACGAATTCAAGAGACAAATTTTATAAAAAATAAATTTAAAACTTAAAATTTTAATTTGTACAACTAAACACAACAGTCACTGATAAAATATATATAAGTGATAAAGTTTTTTCAGCACATATATGAATCACTCTTTCAACATGAAGAGTGTAGGTGGTCAGGCATTTAGGAAAGCAATATAAAACACTCAATGTTATAGTTTAAAATTAAACAAAAAAGGTATTTTTAAAATTTACAGTGACAAATTCAATCATGCCTTACATCATAAATTCTCTACACCTCATATAAATATCACATAGGTGGTTTCATGAATATGTTAGGAGATCTGCAGGTACTGAGGCTTATCCTCTTATGAGTGTTAAGCCTAAGTATGATTCTGATAACCACATGAGATGAGGTCTTGAACACAAAGTTGGCACTGTATGTCATAGATACATTGCCATTAACCTTATCCCCCCCTCTCTCCTTTTCAGTATGAATATGAAACAAGAGCAATACACCAAAAATATTGAGATGCAATATACTGAACAGTGAAACCACTACAATCTACACATAGCTACCATATATACAAATAGATGGTTTTGAAAGATAAACATTGCATTTGTGCTTAAATGAACATTATTTACTATACCCAGGCAGGCAGAAGATGGTCAAAAAGAGTGGCAGGAAAGAGAAATGAGAAGAGAAGGGAATATGAGAAAGAAAGCAGGATGATGACAAAAAGGTGAGGGAAGAAGGATAATGTTAATGATCACCTTTTGGCACTAGGACATCTGGGCTTGTAGTGACAGGCTATCAGCACTGCACTCTATGGCCCAAAACAGCTACAAATAATGAACAGGTGTGGTATTGATGGCTTGATCACTAGGAGTAGGACTTGGGAACTGTTTGGCACTTGCTTTCTTGAAATAGCGAGTGATTTTTGGACTGTTCTTAAGCAATCCATGGTTATTTAGTAACTGGGATAACATGTGTTGATGGTCAGCTACATGAATAAAGCCACAGAGGAAGTCATCAGTAATACTATAAATCCTAGATGAATGAGACCAACCACTCTACTACTTTTCATGCAAAAACCTTTCTAATGGAAAAATAAGTCTAAAGCTCACATTATGTCTTTGAGAGAGTCAAGGTAGTGAAGGAAGTATTGTATGCTAGATGTCGCCAAAGTATTAATCTTCTTAGCTTGTGGAGGTGTGGGTTCACTCCCTCCATTCTCCACCAATGCCAACTTGTTGTCCATCATGGCTGAGTAGGTTTCGGCTAGCTCATAGTTAATTTGACGACAAACCTATACCAGTAAATATAATATTAGCAATTACTGCTTTTTATGCACTTATTTTTATTTATACAATGACTAACAGTTTAATCAGTTTTACCTATATGCATTAGACTAAATGATCGTTATTAACTTAGCTTCTAAACAGTACTACTTACAGGTTACCCTTGATTTATGCAAATTAACTTCATGTGAATTTACTATCGTGTGATGTCCTAGTTATATTGGTAATTCTGCGTATGCGATATACATTCTTTGTTTGTGATCAGTGTGGGTTGTAAAGGATACTGAAGATTCTCATTATGCAGGATTAAAAGCCTCTGGCCTGAATGAGCTTAGTATAACTGCCAAGTACCACCTGAAATACATTTCTAACATAAAACAAGGGAACTCTGCACTAACCAGCAACTGAAAATGCAAATATCTTATTGAATAATTATACCCAATAAAATGCTTATTATCATCGTAAGACCAAAAATTTACCATAACATCAATATACTCTTCTTCTTTCAACAAACTGGCCATATCCCACCGAGGCAGGGTAGCCCAAAAAGAAAAACGAAAGTTTCTCTTTTTAACTTTAGTAATGTATACAGGAGAAGGGGTTACTAACCCCTTGCTCCTGGCATTTTAGTCGCCTCTTACGACACGCATGGCTTACGGAGGAAGAATTCTGTTCCACTTCCCCATGGAGAATCTATATACTCACATGAACATAATATTGTGGATTAAGTTCTTGCACAAGAGCAGTTAACAAGTCAACTCGTCGCTTGTGCATCTTACACCGCCTGTAGAAACCAAAAGTAAACTAGTCACCTTCAAAAATTAAAACACCATCCATTTCTGTAGGGTAACTTGATGATGATAAATCTGCATATAAATTAGCATTTTGTTTGATATTGATTTTGTATTTTATTCCACCTGAGTAACAGAATATTTGTTATCTCTGGTAATTTATCCCATTGTCTTCTAGTAATCATATTCTTAACTATAACTGCACAGCATCTGAAATAAAAATATTGTTAGATTAAGAAGGTACTCAGTAATGTACTGAAAAAAATAGCTTTGTCACTGAAATACTTTTCATTCACGTATCCATGTAGTGATGCCCTCAGCAATACTCTTTCACGTTTAGCTGGAGTTTATCTACAGAGAGTTCCGGGGGTCAACGGCCCCGCGGCCCGGTCTGTGACCAGGCCTCCTGGTGGATCAGAGCCTGATCAACCAGGCTGTTACTGCTGGCTGCATGCAAACCAAAGTACGAGCCACAGCCCAGCTGGTCATAAAGCAAGTCAAAATTTGATAAACTTGTATCAATTATTTTTGCCACAGTGAGAACCGAGATGATTTTGTTTTAACAATGACCGTCTCCCATTGGGGTAGGGCAAGCTGACACAGAAAACTGTCTTGCCAGAAGAGTGCTGACATCACAATTCAGACAACCCTCCAGAGTGCAGGCACTGTACTTCCCACCTCCAGGACTCAAATCCAGCTAACTGGTTTCCCATGAATCCCTTCATAAATGTTACCTTGCTCACACTCCAACAGCATTTCAAATCATAAAAACCACTTGCCTACACTAGTACCTAATACACTCACACAAGCCTATTGGATGTTCAAGCCCATAGCACCCATAATCTCCTTTACACCTTCCCTCCAACCTTTCCTAGGACAACCCCTACCCCTCTTTTCCTCCACCCCAGATTTATCATAATCTCCAAACTCTGAATTCTCTGCAAAATATTCACAGTACACATTGCCCTCAAACATGACATCTCCACTGCCTCCAGCCTTCTCTTCACTGCAACATTCAAAACCAATACTTCACACCCCATACAATAGTGTTGGTATGACTTTTCTCTGGTACATTCCTCTTTTTGTCTCCATGGATAAAGTTCTTGTCTCCACAGATGCCTCAATGCACCAGCCATCTTTTCACCTTCAGCAATTCTACAGTTCACCTCATCTCTCATTGACCATCTGCTGACAAGTCCACTCCCAAATATCTGAACACTTTTACTTCCTCCATACTCCCTTCCTAAAATCTGATATCCAATCTCTCACTGCCTGTATCTTTTGGTACTCTCATCACCTTGCTCTTTCCTGTGTATACTTTTAATTGCCTTCTATTACATACTTTCCTACATTCAATGACCGACCTTTGCAACTTCTCTTCTGAATCTCCTAAAAAGAACTATGTCATTGGCAAACAAGCAACTGTGACAACTCCCATTCCATACCAGATTCACTATCTTTCAATCCCATACCTCTCCCTAACATCCTAGCAATCGCTTTTTTTACTACTTCATCTATAAATATTAAATCACAGTGACATCACATATTCCTGCCAAAGACATAATTTACTAACTTCTCATTTCAAGTACATGTGAAAAACATATTATGATGTCATGTTAAGAAAATGTCATATGCTGGTAAGAAATGCAGTACCCTTGAACACTAAAACCTATAATAGCATTACCTCTCTTCAGAAGATTCAAAAAATGCTAAGGCCTTGTATAAATGGCTCATCTCTTGTATAATGCTGACATGATCGCTGACATGGTCCTCCAGAGTGTAATATTGACGAGCAGTTGTTAACCATCGTAGGCCTGCCAAAAACACTGGCCGGACTTCATCAAAGTTCTCTCCTGGTGAAGCAGCAACTTCTGATTCTAAGTCACTGACTTCTAATTGCACAAACTGAAGCTGTTCAACAAGGTAAAAAAAATGCATTCATATTCTTATACTGCCAATATAAATTAGTGTAGCAAAAGATTACAGAATTACATCAATGTCAAGGTCTTCATTTACACTTAATAAACAAAAAATGGTTTTAAATACATTTATTTCATGAGAGTAGAGCTATTACAATCCCCAATGTATGGTGACTTAGATAAAGAGATAGGGATGAAAGTGATAAGTCTGCAGATAGTTGATATAAAGTGTATAAAATGTGATGTCATCCATACCTTATGTATGCAAGTTGTGGTTATTGGTAGGCCACTATAATGTAAAGTAAAAGGACACAAGTGCAACTAATGTGACATTTTTATTGTAGCAACGTTTCGCTCTCCAGGAGCTTTGTCAAGCCGTTACAAACAATATTACAGGCCACTAAAATGTGACAGTAAAGAGTCTGAAGACAACAGAACCTTGAAATCAAGAAGCTGAGAAAATGAAAGCTAAATGGAGGAAATCTAGTCACTAAAGCCTGTCAAAAATGTCTTAGATATCAATGGGCTTAAGGCAGGATTTCATAAATTTATTGAAAAGTGGATCAACTTTATGAAAGATGGAAGACAAGAGCATTATGATTGAACAGTCTGAATGAAGCCAATAAAATAAATAGCTACAGTATAAAATAAAAAAATTACAATACAGTACATTACGATCAAAATAAAAAAAAATTTAAAACAGCAGCCATCTTCCACTCAATTAAGAGTGATCCAAAAAAAAAAAAAACAAGAGGAAAAATATTCATTGTCAGTCAGTCAACCACTATCCTGTAAAACATCACAGTTCAGATGACCCTCCAAACTACAATATCCTCAACCCCTCCTTCAGAGTGAACTCACTGTACACCATACAGTACCTTTGACCTAAAGGAAAAAAAAAAAAAGATATCAAGGAAATTTAATGCTATTAGAATATTCTTTTAACTCAATGGCCATCTCTCACCAAGGAGGGGTGACCCAAGAAGAAAACATATTCACCATCATTCATTCATTTGCCATCATAATAATATCCATATTTTTATTACTATCACATGAGGATAGTATCTTGCCTACAGCAGCACTTCAGTCATTTCACAGACTAGGTGTAAGGTACTCAATATGAAGTGTCATAAAATGTCACCTGTTTATCTAAAGTTTCCTCTTCAGGTTGGTGATTTATCACTGACTCTTGTTCTTGTGGGTCATCAGGGATGGCTCGATCACATGATACTTCAAGTAACACCAGACAGTAGCGTCCCCAGCAGCGTGCTACATCAGCTTTACACTGCTGATATCTTTCACGACTGGAATGGAACATATGTTAGAAATCTGTAGTGGAGGGGAGGAGGGGTAAGTAAGTAAGTAAGTTTATTCAGGTATACACAAATACAGTTACATAGAATTATCATACATAGCAGCATATGTGTAGAGAACCTAGGATAACCCAAAAAAAGTCAGACATCCTAGGAAAGCATGGAGGGAAGGGGGTAAGAGGTTTTGTGTGCAACGAGCTTGAACATGCAGCAGGCATGTGTGAGCATGTTTGATAGGAATGAATAGAGATGAAAGGTTTTTGGGATCTGATGAGCTGTTGGAGTGTGAGCAGGGTAATATTTTGTGAAGTGAGTCAAGGAAACTGGTTAGTCAGACTTGAGTCCTGGAGGTGGAAAGTACAATGCCTGCACTTTAAAGGAGGGGTTTGGAATATTGGTTGTTTGGAGTGACATTTAAACTGTCATATCTGAGCACCTTTGATTATGTGTGAATAATGGTGAAAGTGTTTCTTTCATTTTTGGGTCACCCTGCCTAGGTGTGAGATGGCCAACATATTAAAAAAAAAAATTACCCATGAAAGGACTACCATGGGTGAAATAAACAGGGCACACTTTTGTCTATTATATCCCAATGTTTGTCTACATTTACATCACGGTGCCTCTTTGTGAACAGTACAACTGGCTTGTGTCATGTGTACTATTGGGAGGCTCCTGCAATACCTATGTGTGTAGAAACCCTAATCAAAGTTCAGGTGTCACCTTGAGCACTTTAACAACTCTTTCCCTACAATTTTTTTCAGCCTTGCTGGGCAAGTACACTACCTCCCACCCCATGAAATGGGAAATGTGATGGTAATAAGGGATAATAAAAATATAAAATAATCATGCAGATTATAGATGCTATGTTTAATTTATTTGGGACATATTTTTAGTTTTTCTACTTTTGCAATCCAGCCTGATAATAATCTTTCCTGGTGAATACCTCATCAGTGAAGCTGCTGCCGGTTGTATCCTACAGTCTCACCGATTACCTGGAGTGAGTTCCGGGGTCAACGCCCCCGCGGCCCGGTCTGTGACCAGGCCTCCTGGTGGATCAGAGCCTGATCAACCAGGCTGTTGCTGCTGGCTGCACGCAAACCAACGTACGAAGCCACAGCCCGGCTGGTCAGGAACCGACTTTAGGTGCTTGTCCAGTGCCAGCTTGAAGACTGCCAGGGGTCTGTTGGTAATCCCCCTTATGTATGCTGGGAGGCAGTTGAACAGTCTCGGGCCCCTGACACTTATTGTATGGTCTCTTAACGTGCTAGTGACACCCCTGCTTTTCAAAAGAATAATTATTTAATCATGGAAAATAACTTCATAAAATCTCTTCATAAATATCTGTAACCGAAATAACAGGGTGGCTACAGCAGCGTACTGCTGACAACACTGAAATAAAGACCCAGGTGTAGTGCCAGCTTTAATTACAACAACGTTTGGCTCTGTGTAGAGCTTTATTAGATCAATGCACTGAATAACCTCTACACAGAGCAAAACATTGGTACAATAAATGTTTACCCTGCACCTGTATCATTTTTTTAATACATGAACACCAATCCACCACATACCATGCAAAAAGGGTTCACATTATAATGTGTGAGAATAACAGGAATCATTAGCTATTATTTTGTCATGTAAATTGTAAAAATGTGATGCAACACTCAACAGACAGTATAACATTTGTGTTATAAAATGGCAAAATAGTGGAAACACACTTGACAAAGTAGCCTGAAACCACAACTTCCCACTGTTGCTAACGGTGACCCTTGATTTTGCAGTCTATTGATGTATAACATAAGTGCTTTCTGTTTGGTCATGGGTGACATCACTTCTGTTTTATATTAGTTATTACCTTTTATACGTGTGCATTATTATTATTGTTATTATTATTATTATTATTATTACATTCATGGGAAAGCACTAAGCCCATGTAAGTCAAACAGCCCAAGGAATAGGAGGCAAATCAAGTGTCCTTCATCATTATCAAGACACCCCCTTAAAGGTCTTTTTGCAGATAATGATGCTTATTGAACCACATTCAGAAACACACTTCTTTATTCATTAATGATTAATTCCTCAAAAACATTTGTCATTCTCATGCAATCTGCATTCACAGTGAAGACTCTGATCCATGATCTTCAATGATAAGCCTTTGTAAATACTGTACCATAATGCTTTCCAAGAATTAACTGTCAAATTCTGTTACTAAAGAAGTGTGTCTTAAACTCAAAAGTATACTAATAAGCTTAAAGTATTTGACATTACCTCTTGCAAGGAAATCCATTATATATGTGTACTGTAGTTTAGCATTAAATTTCACACCCTTGATTAAGAAAGGAAGGCTCCAAATTTTCAAGAAAAAGTGGGGCTAAGAAAGGACTGGCAAGATGAAAACAATCCAAGATTGAGTGGAGTGGGATATCATGGTGAAAATGTAATCAAAAAATGTTTTAAAAACCCAAACTCTACCTTATCTAGCCTTACCTTAATAAACCTAAAAGACTTAATTGCCCTTCATCAAATCTGGTGCATTACAAAGCATCTTGCCTTGGTATCACACTTCTCCTTTCTGTTATGACAATGTTTACATCAAGAGCATTTCTATTTAGTAAATGGAGCCTCTCCTCACTTAACGATGGAGTCCCATTCCTAAGACCGCATTGGTAAATGAATTCATCACTAAGTGAGGAGCATACCATAATGGTAGTGGGTTTGTGTTAACTATCTTTGATATTGTTTTAACCCTTTCAGGGTCCAAAGGCCAAATTTCAAAGTGTGCACCAGGGTCCAAGAATTTTCAAAAAATAATTTTGTTATTTTTTCTTATGAAATGCTACAAAATATGAAATGAAATGCTACAAAATAAAGTGATCGGAAATTATTAATTTGTCCAATTTCATGCAAAGTTCAAAATATTCAAATTTCAAAATAAGGTCCAGAATAAACAATGCAGGCATTCCTGGCACTAAACATTTCCTCTGTTCATTAGTTATGTTTTCAGGCTTTACAAATGAATTCCATTTTGATTTTTTATTCACATAATGAATTTTTATTCAAACCAAAAAATAGAAGATTTACTGTTATGCAGTATTGTAATAATTGTATAAATAATATCACTACATTTGTGAATGTATATTAGACCCACCAGCTAGCGTGTATTAGACGTGTTAGGTCATTTGTTTACTCTTGAACATTGGCAAAAATTGAACATTTCAGGTACTTTGACCCCAGTTTCAAGCGATTTCCATTACTAAAACCAATCAAAATCTTCTCTATTTCTGTAATATATCTTCCATTCTATCAAATGAGACCAAGAAATCACAAATACAACTATAAAAAACATATGAAAACACACTGCAAAGTCGCTGTTTTAATCGAAAATTACGGTCTCGGTTTTTTTGTCATTATGCACTGTGTGCTGCAGGATTTGTTTTATGCGGTGCACACATACCACAGAGATGTATTCTCTCGTATCTAGGCCCAAATTTACCGCTCACAGCTTATCAGAGTGAGCTGAGCTCATGGCATAGATCTACGGTTTGGACCCTCAATGTATAGCCGTAGATCTACGGCACGGACCCTGAAAAGGTTAATGTCACCTTTGCACCATTTATAACATTTCTGGTATATTTTTAAATGTTTATACAGCAGTGTATTGCATATTGTAATAAACAGAATTGAGGAAAGCAGCTCTAATGTACATTATTTAGGTATACATACTGGTCAGAGAGTCTGTGGTAAATCCGAGTCGGCAATAAATGAGTACATCGCTAAGTAAGGAGAGGCTGTATTACCCTGCATCAATCTTGGTTTAACACTTCCATAATTGCACCTACCTGTGAGTTACCTCACGTGTATCCTCTTGCGGAGTATCAACCTCAGCCTCGTGTCCTGACAGTACCTTGGATGCAGAGGCTAACAAGTGACGGGCAACTCTGAAAAAAAAAAAAAATACAGTGAAGGATGCTAGCAGGGTTGACAGGAAAAGAAGCAGGAAGTAGGCAGCAGAGATGGAAGGAAAAAGACGGAGGGGGAAAAAGGAGAGGGTAAGGGAAGTGGGAGGAGTGAAGGCAGAAAAGAAAAGGAGGCAGAGGATAGTTTCTAAGAAGACAATAATTACTTAACAAGAATTATAAAATACATAGTTTTTAATTTTTTATATACAGTATCCCATGTTACAGTATTATTATATGTAATCAAAGGGATCGTAGGGCATACAGCACAGTATTCCACAGAATGGTTCATATGTCTCTTTAAAATGTTTCATGTATACTAAAGAAAATTTACTTTGATTTCCTAAAGCCTTCTTACCTAAACTGCTCTTTTCCTTGATAAAACTGAGCCAAAGTTGAAGCATTAATGGACCAGTCAATAGGATCATAGTCTTTACTAGCCAGTTGTCGTTGAAGAGTAGAGTGACAATACCATGCAGACTTGTCAGGAACACCAAGATGTCCATAAACCTGTAGATAATGCTTTAATAACATATAACTAATGCACAATATAAACAAACATGCAGATTTATATAAAAATTATGAGGTGCTGTAGATTTTTTTTAATGTTAAGTGTGTGCTTGTTGATTGTCATCCAAGGAAAAAAATTAAGTTCAATGTTTGTTATGTAAAATAGCAAGGAATGAGTTTGAGGTGATAAATGTGGAGTCATTTCTTAATACGTATTGTGATACATTTAGTTGTTCACTGATATAATTTAGTTTTCCTTACAAAAGTAAAGCTTTCTATATATTACTGGTAATTTAATTTTATAGTCAATTTTAAAAGGCCAATGTAAAAGTTAATAGAGTCCTTACATTCAGCCACAGTACTAAAATAGCAAAATGAGTAATTATTTTTTTTTTTTTTTTTTGTAATTCTCTGACTTCTCGTTTCCATTTTAATGAATCCTAGGCTACTGTGCGGGAAATATTATAATTAAACATTAATTTGACATTATTATAATTATCATCAATTCCCATAGGGCTTATACACCAATTTCATTAATAAAACTAAAAACTATTAAATGCACTTCAAATACCAAGGTACTCTTGTGGCTTACCTGAGCAAGATAGTAGAATGTGAGTGTATGTAGCTTCTCTAGAGCATCTATACCATTAATGTCATCAATGTTACTTTCTTTTTCATTACAAGTAGTAAAGAGACTATGAATAGTTCTTGGAGGTTTGGTACACTGTTTCTGGTATTCATCGTACAGCATATTAGCTCGATCAAGATGACGCTTAGCAGTGGAATAGAGAGCACGGTTTGACCACAAAATTCCAAGCTGATTATGACAGCTTATCGCAAGGGCAACAGTAGCAGGAGCTATGGCGGTAGGACTGATGGAAGATACCTCACAAACTTCTGACAGGAGGCTCTCTTCAGCACCTCGAAGGGCAGCTGCAACCACCTCGGCATCCCCGACAGTAGCAGAGGAAACTCCTGATGAGATACTACCCTCGTCTCCAATAATGATTAATGCTTTGTTAAGGTGCTCCTCACCTGTGGAAAATTCCTCCGTTTCAACTGCAATGACTCCTAGATGATATACAACAGCAGCCATCCGGGCTCTAGTTAAACCTACACCATCAACGCCTTCCTCACTAAAAGCACCTTCACTGTCATCCACATCATCTTCATCTAATTGTTTACTAAGTCGAGATTTTAGTTCTTCAAATATTTCTCTTGCTGCATACTTAGATTTATAGGGCTCACTGTCAAGATCATGATGACTCTCTTCCTGATAGAGCTGCCAAGCTTTTTGGTACTGGTCCTCCAGAGATGCCATCTGGCGGAATATGAAACACGCTTCACACAGCGGCAATCTGAAAAAATAGCTTAGGTACTTTCCCAACATTTTCGAGATATAATTTAATAAGTTCATAAATAATATATTAATAAGTAGCAAAGCAATTAGCATTATGACCAATATATAAAGTAATGGGGACTCATTACAGTAGAAGTTCACATGTATAAAACAATAATGATTTCTTAATTCAAGAGTCTGAATTACCAATGACATTATTACAGAGTACACAGAGTAAACAAAGAAATATTTTAGAAGTATTATAGCAGTGTTTAATATGAAGTAGAAACACAGTGAAGTAAGAAATACATGCTTCATAAGACAAGATACAGGACTATATTATTATTATTATTATTACCTTTCTACAGAAAAGTGACACCTTCTGTGATACACATGACCTATAATGCTTTGTTCACAGCAAGTTTTCCATTAAAATTCTGCCTTGTTAAGAGATACTAAAAAATTTAAACCAAGCATAAAAAAAAAATGTTTGCACTTGCCAGACATTCACTAAGAATCACTCATACATAAGAGGGAAGGTGAGAAACCTCTTGTACCAAAAAATGAAACCAGGTAGTACAGTGGACCCTCGGTTTGCGATATTAATCTGTTCCTGAGAGCTCATTGTAAACCAAAATTATCGAAAAGCGAATCAATTTTCCCCATAAGAAATAATGGAAATCAAATTAATCCATGCAAGACACACAAAAGTATGAAAAAAAAATTTTACCACATGAAATATTAAGTTTAATGCACACAAACTGAAAAAGACATGCACAGTTTGTAGTACTCTACTAACAATAGAATACATGACACTTACCTTTAATGAAGATCTGGTGATGATTGATGGGATGGGAGGAGGGGAGAGTGTCGAAGTTGTTAATGTTTAGAAGGGGAATCCCCTTCCATTAGGACTTGAGGTATCAAGTCCTTTTCCGGGGTTACTTCCCTTCTTCTTTTAATGCCACTAGGACCAGCTTGAGTCAATGGACCTCTGTCGCACAACAAATCTGTCCATAGAGCTCTGTACCTTCCGTTCCTTTACTATTTGTCTAAAATGGGCCACAACATTGTCATTGTAATAGTCACCAGCACGGCTTGCAATAGCTGTGTTAGGGTGATTTTCATCCATAAAGGTTTGCAGTTCAACCCACTTTGCACACATTTCCTTAATTTTTGAAGTAGGCACAATGGATTCCACAACTGGCATAGGCTTCTCAGGGTTAGTCCCAAACCCTTCAAAATCTTTCTTAATTTCCATACTAATTCTCACCCTTTTTACCACAGGGCTGGCACTAGAAGCTTTCTTGGGGCCCATGGTGACTTATTTTGCAGAAACAAGCACCAAAAACACTGTGATAATATGGAATGTACCGAATGTATCCTTAGATGCGAGCACACTGGCTGGCTTGTAAACACTGGGCCACACGTGGACACGTCTTGGACAAATCGCGTATACCGGGTTTTTTAACGAGAACCGAGGCAAAATTTTTGCGTTAAAATGTATCGAATACCGATGCCATTGCAAACCGGGGGTCCACTGTATATATATTTCAGCCTGTCGGAGATACTCCAGATGCTGAAAAATACAGATCCCTCTAACTTGTGTTTCATTTTTTGCCCAAGAGGTTTCTCACCTTTCATCAGTGTTTATGACATATATCCAAGCATAAGAGGAGTGGTGTGAAATGCACAAAAAACAAAAGCAGCAGGTTGAGGTGTATGAAATCTTTTACCAAATATAATTAGCTTCAAGGACATTATGATTAATACTAGTTTCCCTTCCAAGACCAAATTTGGACACACATCAATGGATTAATCCAGAAAGGTGAGTACAAACTACAAAGCAATGTTTGAGCTAAACACTTTAACCCCTTTTTTCCAGCACTAACTAGGTATTTATACACACAAGTTAACACTGAGCTGGAGGACATTCTCATTAAAATTATAACTGCTGAAATAAAAAGAAACTACCAAACCATCCACCTGTGTACTCCAACCACTTGTGCACACAAACTACCTACATAATTCAATCACTCAGAATCCCTCAACCTCCATAGTCTAACAAAATGGCTGTCGCTAAACACAGTAAAAGACCTTAAGGATAATGGAGACATATACACAAGTAACCAATAGAGGGTTTATTAGCAACCAGTGAACCATAAGGTGCATACCATTTGATGCTAGCCAAACCTGTCTGATTGTTTCAGTCCACTGAAGGGTCACAGCTTCAATGGAAGGCTTAACTTTCATTGAGCAAAGAATGCAGTACAGTACGTGGATCTCCATGCATGGCAAACAAGAAGTAAAAGCTCCTAATTAGTTTCTGTAGTATTTTTATTATAATATTCATGGGGTGCTATATGACCTACAGGGGTCATATAGTACCCGGGGAATGGGAGGTAATCAGGCTTGATCCAAGGAAGGAGAAGATTGTTTTAACTCCTTGGATGAAGAGCCCTTCACTGACATCAAGGAAGGAATCAGTCTCTGAAGCTTTCCTTGCCCAGTGGAAAGGACAGCCCCAGCCAGTGCAAGCCATAGCACCTATGAACATTGCAAGTCTTCCATACTCACCAACAGGGCCCATATCAGGAAACCAAGGACAACCTATACTAAAATTATATTTTCAATGTCACTTCATTAGTGTGCTACTTCGAATGGTAGTGTGATCAATCACTTATTGGTCACATTTGTGCCTTCAGACCACTTCTACTCAAGACTACCTCACCTCTGTCCCTTAATGACCCAGTGACACAAGTTTAACTGTGTAGATAGTTTGCCTCTCAAAACAACTTTTCTATTACAACAATTCTGACTGATGTCAAGTACCTAGCCAAGACTAAAAAAAAAAAGAAAGTTTAGCATGTTTATGGTACACATGAACTAAAGCTAAACTACCTGTATATAAAAGTTTATGATACATCTATCCACAAGCTTAATATCGGTCAAATTTCAGATTTATGTATATGTCAAAGTTAAGATAAGGACAAGGACTAGCAGTATTAAAGTATGAAACTTTTTTTTACATAGACATACTACCCTAAAAAAGTCTCCTAAGAAACATATGGACCTTCAGTATAGGCAAGGCAAAAGCACAATATATTTATGGGGAATGATAAACTTTTTTAATCAGGAAACTTTGTTATCGGCAAAACATAAAAGATGAGCCATATTCTGACTAGTAGGCCAACAGGCTGCAACAACCTGGCCAATCAGGTGGTCACCAGGGTACCCTAGTCTTGAGCCAGACTACAAGAATAGAATAACTAACCAAACCAGCAACCTGTAGGACACAGGCATGCACAAGGAAGGAGAAATTGTTTATAACGCATACTATATATGCTGTACAATATAAAAGTACAGTATAGTTAAGTAATAGTTCAGGATTACCTAAACAAACTAAATTACTTTCAGTAATTTTACTCACAGACTAGATATATAACTTGCTAAAAATATTACAGCAAGCAGTTTGCTATTAGCAATGCTTCATGCTATGAATTAGTTCCCTATAACAAAAAATAGAAACAGGACAAAGCAGATTACAGAATGAACTGTCATCATCAAACTTAAAAGTATTAACTAATGAACAAATAACATTGGAACAAATTTTCTCATATACAGCAGTACTGCACATAGTTACTTTAAATTAGAAATACTATGAACCAAAAATAATTCTACAAAGAGAAAACAGTACTAATTGTGGCATGGTGATAAATACAGTATTGTAGTTTCGAGCAATTTATAATATTTTAGACCCTTTTATAATGCTGTATATTATAGCCATTTATATAAGTTGAGATCCTTTCATAATATTTTAAAGCCCTTTACATACAGTACTAAACTACATTTTAATTCTTAGGTATCAGGTTGCATTTTAAAAACATGATCCTCTCTATGCATCAATGTTGCTTAGAAAATATAGTATTGTTCAATCTCTTGATATATCAGTAAGCAAATTCCAACAGTTGGTTATACTATCAGAGAAGGGTTTAACATTTCATTAAACACTGTCTACAAATAATTTAGGTACAGTATTTATCATTAAAAGTCATGGAAACTTTGTTGCTGAGCCAAATGTTTGAACATAGCTTGCACAGGTTTTGGAGCAAGATTTTTCTTCTTGAGAGAAGAGATCACCACCAAACAAGGCCACTGCTAAATATTTATAATAAATTAACAAAAGAGATGAATGCCCCCCATAATGACTTACAACATACAGAAAAAGTTAAGTATTTCATCAATTAGGTTACAAGACTATTTACACCTGAAAGACAAACTATTTGGGCAAATGTTGTCACAGCAGCATTAAATAATGCAAAAAAAGTTGTTCGAAGTCATCAGTGACCATCAACTTGGTATAAATCAGTGAAACGCAGTGTGTCACATGACCCACCAGTTGTTTAAGGTTCACCTTGCTCTTAAACCCAGTGGGAGCCAAGGCCAAAAAGTGAGAAATGCTGGTGTAAAGAATCTGAAAATTCATGAAATAAATTGTGGTACTCGGTTCAAATGCATACTATCTAAGAAGACCAACAGTTGTTTTTCACATAACTGAAACTCAGTACTACCTAAATATCTTAAAGCTGCAGCAAGCTAAATATATGTTATATTCCCACCTGATTTTAATAAAACCCTGCAAAATACAGAACCATAACTTACACAACAATAGCCAACTAATCAGAGATAAGTCTATGCCAAAAAAAGTCTATACTACAATGATTGATTTTTTTTTTTTTTCAACAAGTCAGCCGTCTCCCACCGAGGCAGGGTGACCCAAAAAGAAAGAAAATCCCCAAAACGAAAATACTTTCATCATCATTCAACACTTTCACCTCACTCACACATAATCACTGTTTTTGCAGAGGTGCTCAGAACACAACAGTTTAGAAGCATATACATATAAAGATACACAACATATCCCTCCAAACTGCTAATATCCCAAAATCCCTCCTTTAGAGTGCAGGCACTGTACTTCCCATTTCCAGGACTCAAGTCCGGCTATATAAAAATAACTGG